GCTACTCCCATTCCCTGCTGCAGCCTTACGGTGCCTCTCCCGGCTTCGGAAAGGAGCCGGCGCCCCCTGTGGCGGTCTGGAAAGGACACTCTTTCAATACCATCTCCGGCCGAGAAGCTGAGAAGTTCAGCGGCAAAGACAGCGGCAAAGGGGACAGTGATTTCAACGACAGCGATTCCGACATCAGCGGGGACGCTCTGAAAAAGGATCTCATCAACCACATGCAGAGTGGTGAGGACTCTTCTTTCCTGCCAAGTTCAACGTTCCTTCTCTCCCCGCCCCTTTCTGCCCTCCTCTCACTCTCCGTTCCCCCAGCCCTCCTCCTCCTTCCCCACTTTTTTCAGTCCTCGGGGTTTGGGATCCCAGCCTTCCTCAGAAAGAAGAATTTCAAAATGCCTCGTCGAGGCAGCTCCACCACTTAAATAAAGAACACAATCCCATCCGGTTAGGCGGAGGCAGGGGTGACGCTAGCTACCTGAGGAGGGGAATTCTGCTTATCAGGTTTTTAATTTGCTTCCAGCCAAAAAAGCTGAACCAACTTCGTGTTAAGGTGGCTTCATAGGAAGCAGTATTTCTTTCAAATCTTGAATCGTCGCGTTCACCCCCATACTCTTCTTTTCAGCCGCCCTGACCCCGTCTGACATTCTGAAGAGGGAGGCGTAGCTGTATGCAATCTCAGTAACAATCATCACCCTCTCTCCCTTTCTCTTTTCTGTTAGGACTGTGGGCGTGCACTGCTGAGTGTAAGATCCTGGGCCACTCTGACCGCTGCTGGAGCCCGTCATGCGGAGGGCCCAACACACATCCCCCGCCTCACCCACCGGCCCAGATGTCTACCTTCTGTAAGAGCACGTCCCTGCCTCGTGATCCTCTGCGCAGGGACAATTACTACCAGGCCCAGCTGCCCAAGACAGTGGGGCTGCAGAGCGTCTATGAGAAAGTGCTACACAGGGACTATGACAGGACAGTCACTCTGCTCTCCCCTCCCCGCCCGGGGAGGCTCCCAGACTTGCAGGAGATTGGGGTACCCCTCTATCAGTCCCCCCCTGGCAGGTACCTGTCCCCAAAGAAGGAAGCCAATGAAAATGTGTAATCCCATGCTGCATGTCTTCACAACATATACAGGTCACTCCGAGAAGCCCCTAAATTATTGACAGGTTTCAGTGTTGTATATATAAATATGCAAGATGTGCCTTAAAATGAAGTTGTTGGAAGCTATTTCCAATCACATTGGTACTGTTTGGTATTTGCAAACAAAAATGTAGTTAATGTAATTTTTATGAAATGTGTGCAGTATTTAATTTTTCTTATCATGCTATTGACTTTAATTTCACTTGCGGCTTGCCATTTTCTTAGTGTTTTTAACCTGTACATTGTGTAATGTAATGTTTGTATATAATGAAATTTTGTTATATTTTTATATAATAAAAGCTAAAGTGGAAGTTATTGCCAAAGGAACTGTCTGTAAGACAAAAAAAAAATGGGAATTACTTAATGGAAATTTACCTTTCACCTGAAACAACCTAGTGTTTGAGAATTTTTGCCTTGCCAAGTATACCTTGTATATCTTGAGTCTGTGGTAGATTTCAAGTTCAATGTTACTTAATTACATTTGGTTTTCTGTAAACCGTGTCACTTATAAGCACAGTAATAAAGGATTTGTCATGTGTTTGAAGAATCTGCTAATTGCTTTTCATGAAGTTGCCTACAGTTAGACATTCACAAATAATCTAAGAGCCAGAATTAAACCTTCTTTCAAGTGCTAATTATTTGGGCATTATTAATATTCACAGCAATATTAAATTTCCAAGTATTGGAAAGTCTCATCTGAGTATTAAAAATACTTTATTTTGTAAATCATGCGCAACTCCATTTACATCAGGCACTCTATAAAATCCTTTTCCTCATTTATTCACTCAACAGATATTTATGGTGCATCTACAAAAAGTGGAGAAAGCTGTTTGGGCTGTTCATTCACTAATTAAACATCTGTTGAGTTTTTACTAACTGCAGTAAGTCCTCTAAGAGCTGGAGTTCGAGGTTAAGAAGACCTAATCTCAAGGAGCCCTTAGCATATAGGATGTTAATAGCAAAAAGACACTCAAATGTATGGGTGAAATGACATGGTACTTGGGATTTGCTTTAAAATATTCTAGAAGGAAACATGGGGCTACATGAAACAAGACTGATAAAATATGGATCATTGCCACTGCTAGCATGGGTACATGTGGAGATGGAGGAGGGTAATGATACTGATCTATTTGTGTGTTTGCATGTACTTGATGTTTGTTATGGAAGGTTTTTAAAAAGCCACTCTAAAAGACCTATGTCTATTTCTTATATTTAATGCATTCATTTCATTGGAAATTAAAATGATAACAATAAGCACTAGCATTTACTGAACAAGCTTTAAAATGAGCAGAGCTCCTTACAAAGCATCTGCATGAATTATCTCATTTAATCCTCAAACTACCCCCCATGAGATGGGAACTATCATTATCTCCATTTACAGATAAGGAAACTGGGGCACAGCAAGGTTAGGTAAAATGCCCAAAGTCACACAGCTAATCAGTGCCCAGAATGAGATTCAAACCCAGATTATTCAAGGCAAGAAAATAAAATGAAGCAACAAGAGTTTTGTTGTTTTTTTTTTTTTTTTTTTATCTTGAAAGAAACAAAGAGGTGGAAAAGTCCCAATGCATTGCCTTTACCGCCTGATTATTGTTTAGCTCTTTATATTTGTGAAGTGCCTGTGTTCCCTTATTACTAATTACAGAGTGTGAGGCACTGTAATGAATAGAGGAGCCCTCAAAGCTGCCTGTTGAAGTCAAAATTGAAACCAGTGGTGGCTCCAAGCCGAACAGCAGGGTGGTCACACACAAGTGCTTCGCCACCCACGGCCTGCACAAAGTTCAGCGGTTTCTTCATGCAACTGAGCTGAGCATGTGCCTGACAAGTTCAGACTGCCCAGACATCACGTTCTAAAAGAAAGCATCAGATGTGGCTAGGTTACCAGACAGCTCCAGAGCCACGATGACCAGGCGCCAGCAGAGAGAGCCCTAGCTAGAACTCCCATTTCAACATCTACATCTTTATTCTTGAGCCAGTCCCATCAAATGCAGAGCCGAAGGACCAATAATCCCACACTGCCGTCTAAAAACATCCGATCTCTGGGGTGCCTGGGTGCCTCAGTCGGTTAAGCGGCCGACTTCAGTTCAGGTCATGAGCTCACCCTTGGTGGGTTCAAGCCCTGCCTCCGGTTCTGTGCTGACAACTCGGAGCCTGGAACCTGCTTCGGATTCTGTGCCTCCCTCTGTCTCTGCCCCTCCTCCACTCGTGGTCTGTCTGTCTCTCTCTCAAAAATGAAAGAAAGAAAGAAAGAAAGAAAGAAAGCAAGCATTCAATCTCTGAATGTGTTTGCCTGTTTTTATCCTTCCAAAGTAAAATACTGTCATTGTCATTATTTTATTTTGTACCACGAAAACTATTTCATTAATCCAAAAAATCAGTTGTCAAAACCGCTATGACTTCACCATCATATTTTTCCCTTAGAGAAATGACCATTAAGAGACCTTATTTTTGCTTAGAACTTAAAAAAAAAAAATCAAACATACAATTCAGTCCATAAAATTGTTTGTTTAAACCAAAAAAAAAAAAAAAAAGGCAGGGGTGGGGGGAGTTGGAGGGGGGGTTCTAAGGGCCCGCAGCAGGAGCTCTCAGAGAAATGGGAGTTAAGTGCAAGAGGCTTCATGCTTTTCTCTAGAAATGTTGACTTTTGTGTACATTTCTAAGAAAATATATTACTTATTAAATTAAATGAACAGCTCTAAATGCCGAATACTTAGGACAATGCCCAGCCCATGGTAATAATTGCTTCATTCTATCTTGCCTTCCTTGAAAGCCAATCTCTATAGTAACTATCAGCCCAGTCCCACCACTAGGGAAGAGGACACAGACTCGGGCTGTCTGGACTTGTTTCGCAATCAGTTTGCTTTCTTCACTTTTTCCTCTTTCAGTATGTCATTCAGAGCCTTGTGTATACTCAACACTCTACAAACAAGTGCAGCTAAAGTAAACATCACAGGCCAGCTCACAAACCTTAGAGATCTGTGATGGTATCACAAACACCTCTCTCGAGCTGGAGGCCAACAACCCTTAGGCACCTTGGCAGTGAGCACTGGGACATGGGAAAGTCCTTGGGGAAGTGGGAGAGTCACCTTGAAAGAGAAAGCTCAAGCCAGACTTTCCCAGTTTCATATTTTTATATCTGGCCCCATTGACTTGGATGTCCTACACTTCCTATAATAAAATATCCATCAAAGAAACCACTTCAGAAAATTAAAATGTAAGTGGTTTCAACATCTATTGAAAAATGCATTCTGAAATAGAGTGAAAACAGGATGCATATCTTCAATACAAATATATATGCACATGGAGAGAAAATATATATATAATCAGGATGAGTTCCATGCCATAATTAGCTAACTATCTGGCTTATCTCACTTGGCACACATAAGGTTTTATCCTCTAAAAATTCCATTTTAGAAAACAAGCATATTCACTTTAGTATTGAATTCAGTAACAACGGGATAATTGGAATGCTCTAAGTTTTAAAAGCAAACTGAAGCAAAGTAATACAATACTCGATGGAGCACTGTGCTTTGCAACAACTCAGAAGGGCTTTGAAAATGCTGTCTAGTTTTCAACAGCTATGCAATAACTCAAGAGAGTATTTATTATTCCCTTTCTTCAGAGGAAAATAATCTGCAATGGAATTCACCAACAAGTTCAAAGTCACCTAATGAGTGAACAGCAGGTAAAAAGAGACACCAGGCTGTTTTAAAAGGCATCAGTTAAAATGCCAGATTAAATGTGCCCTTTTACCAGGGGGAAAAAGTCTTCACTCATTATCCGAGTACAGGATTTGCTCCCACGAAACTTGTAAAAGAAATTTCAACATGTCAGAGTAAAATCCACATAGTTTAAGGTGAATCAGGGAAATTCCATTTTGCCTACCCACTGTGACACTTGGCTATATGATGGACACTTTGGACTCATTGTGTCCAAATGGAAATCACCCCCTTTCCTTACCACCATCATCCCCCAAACTACCTCTCTGGCAATTGTTCTAAACCCAATGAATGGGACCACAGTTTATAGACCAAACCCAAAATACACACCATTTTAAGACTCCACCCTATTTCTTTCTTCCGCTCAATCAAGATCCGTTGGTTCTATTTTCTAAATATTTTTTTAAGTTTACTTTTTTATTTTGAGAGAGAGTGAGAGAGAAAGAGAGAGTGAGTGAGCAGAAAGGGGCAGAGAGAGGGGGAAAGAGAGAATCCCAAGCAGGCTCTACATGACCTGAGCTGAGATCAAGTGTGGGTGGCTTAACCGACTGAGCCACCCAGGCGCCCCTCTACATATCTTTTTAAGTGTTCCTTCACTCCACGAAGGAGATCTAATGCTCTGCCCAAGTTCCCACTCTGAAGTCCACCTCAGCTTCAGAGGCTGCTTCGGGTTGCATCTGTGATAGTCTCCATCATCACGTCTGTCTCTGCTGCTTGAGACTTGCTTGAGGCCCCAACACTGGTAGGGCCACACAAGTTTATTCAGCCTGTGCACAGAGCAGTCTGGAAGGACAGGGGATTTAAGACCTGCAGAGGCAAACTTCAGCCAATTAGGGATGAGTTTGGTGGACAAACACCCCAGCTTTCCTGTCTCTTGGAGGGGCAGTTTTGAGTTATGTTCTACACAGTTCTCCTTAGAATCCCAAGTGAATTTGAGCCCCAGTTGCCCACAGCAGCAAGGCACCCAGCAATACCCCCGCTCATTGGTGTTTCCCTACCTCACTTTCCTCAGTGCTTTCTAGGATCACTTCCCAAACAAATTTCTTGCACCCAAGTCCTTGCCTCAGTGCCTGCTTTTAGGGAGACTATCCAAATTAGGATGGCTGCACAAAAACAAGAATAAAGATACCATTTTTTAGTGATTACTGTGCTCTACACACTGCACCAAGCACTTTACATGTAATCCTCACAGCTTTGCAAGGTAAGGCCTCATTAGACCATACATATGGGGAAAAGCAAGACT